TTTCTGTTTAGATGCACAGCCTAGAGAGCATAATTTAAATGGTGACACTAAAGTCGTCAAATTTAAATTATGCTCTCTAGGCTGTGCATCTAAACAGAAAAATAGTAAATTTCTTCCGAATTACTGCGCGAACGGCTGCAAATCAGTCATTCCCATACAAGCGCAACCAGATGAACAAACTCAAGTTAGAAAAGGACCAGAAGCAAATAACGCTCAAAAAATACTTCAGTTACGCCGACCATTAAGAATTCAAAAATTTTAATCATCAAGCCCGCTTAAAACTAATCTATCTGAAAGAGTTGTATGAACTATTACCGGACTACTGCACCCATGGCACTTAGCGGTCAAATTATTTGCTGTCGCTTTTCTTAAAATGAGGTACTCATTTGACTTAACAAAACTCGTCGTCAAAATATATGAAATCATCTATGGCCCTTAAAATAAGTGCAAAGCCGCCACAAAAAAAGAACAAGTGATTTATATAGTACTATTAGAGTTTGCAACGTAGTGAAAACTTCAAGAATCCCTTGCTCGCTAAACGACTTCGTAACTAGTAAATGAACCCAAAAAATTGTCCCTAAATATACTGTTACTCACATCCGGAAGACAGGGAATCCCCGCACAGGTCAGGAACTTCTGGAAGTGAATTACATCGGTCGAAATCAGCAAAGCCTTCAAGCAACGCCTTTTCGATCTCCTTTTCCACTAGAGCCAAACTATCCGCAAACGCATCAAAATGCATTTCTAAATTAAAAAACTGCAGCAATTATCGTCCCTTATCAAGTCATAGTAGCCTCGTTTGGCCAACTAAAATACAGGAAAAGAAACCAGTATTTCAATAAGTTCAATATATCCGATAAAAAATTGTATTTTTTCCTCACAAGGTACAGCAATATTTCAATGATATTCAACAATGAAAACAATCAACTGAAAGCGAAATGCTAAAGAAAACTTCCAACCACTTCCAGGAGCAAAAAAAAAAAAAATCAGCAGTGTCAGACAATCGTGAGTTCTAACATGAATCTCTAACGTAAAAAACACTTAGAAATACAGAGAAACAAAGAAAAAACTTCAATACCAATTATTCCTTCATCAAAATTTCGCTCCGCGTTATAAGTCTTCTGTGCTGAACAACTCAGTTTATTAAGCCCCATAAAATGTGGCATAAATTATATTTTAACAATTTAAACAAGCGTAAAACTTACAAAACTTGATTAATACACAAATGTTATCAAATCATACAAAATATCAAGAACATTTTATATAGGAACAATATATTTCTTAGGAACACAGTCACAAAGCCAGACGTCGTTCTCCGACAGGTAAAACTTGTAACCGTCCGCGTGCATCGTCGATGTATCGATCTGAAGCACAACGGCTGGGCCATGTCGTTTACCCACCGCTTCTGCAGTCACAGTATCCGCAGAAAGATGCACAAAAAGACGGCTGCGCTTTTGCAGGCCATGTTCCATGATACTATCCAAGGATCTCCGTGCAGTACCATGATAAAGCCACTGAGGAGGAACTGCCTCCTTGAGCTCAACATCAACGTTCACAGAGTGTCCCTGACTTGCTCGTATTTTACTATGATCTTCGCTAAAAATAAAACGTCGTTTGCTGTCATCAGCTACAATCTGATTCAGTGCCTCTAAATCTAATTTCCTTCCAGTTTTTCTAACACCAGTAAGAAGTTCATCAACATTTGCCCAACCATTGTTATCCAAAGTAATGTTTGCTGCTGCCGGTTTGTGACGCAAAATCAAGCTTAAGAAGCGCCCAATACTAACTTTCTCCTTATCATTCAGCTTAACCATTGTAGCAAAAAAGAACGTATAATAAAAACTAATTGGTTTACAAACAACAGGACAGTGAAATTGGAGCTGACTGTGTTGACCATCGCCAAAAGCTTACTACCTATATATATACATATATAAAAATACGAATTGTTGAGTGCGCAAAATTGTGCAAATTTAAATTTTCTCGCAGGGATTTGAAAAATGCAGTATACTGCAGCAGTAAATTTGTTTATTCGGTTTACTGGTATACAAAGTGAACAATGCAGGTGAAGATATGATTTTGTCTGTTGCTGAAAACTGCTTGACTTGACATGATTTTTTTGTACTTGATAAAAGTTGATTTGTATCACTCATTTAAAGTGGTAATTTTAACCACTTGAATAAACGCACTTATCAGGAATAATAAAATGAAATCTTTGAGTTTTCTTCGCAGTTAGAGTAAAACCAAATCATCGGATTATACAAAATATTGTTGACCTTTACAGTATATTTATTCAATGTAGTTTCTGCTGCTGCATATTTTTCAAAATACTTTTTGATAGGTTTTTCAAACAGTGAAAATTATATAGTACTAATCTTATTTCAGTTTAATTTTATCCTCTCGGTCACTGTTACCATTGCTATTCTTAGTACAGTTTTGCCGCTGTCATTATGACCGTTATTCCTGCTCGTATTATGCTGTTCTCTAGTAACCGTTGTTTCCACTGTCATTTGTTTAGCTGTTTTCAGAACTGCTTTCTTAAAAGATATTTATTTCTTTTGACAACAAAAATTGAAAAATTAACAATCCTGAATCACGAGTCTCTGTGTCCAAACTGTTAGGGTTCCAGAAAAAATGGTTTCAGTGATGCAAAAAAAAAGTCTTAAATCGGCTCTCTACAGATGTTTGAAGTGGACGCTTGAATCAAAATTATGTAAGCATAACAAGTTTAATCTCGAAACCCGTAGTGACATGAATATCGCAACAACATAAGCCTAGTAAAAGAACTTCTGAAATGTATTGAATATTTTGCTAGTAGTTTGTTCTGACGAAGCAGTGAGATTCTTCGTAAATTGTTTTAAGAAACTATTCCAAATCTAATCAAATATCTGTTCACTAGAGCTTCAGTTTTCAAATTATGAAGCACTTTTAGTGCCTTATCTTCAGATGTTCTTTGTCATAACTATCAGATAACGGTATTTAAAGAAACTCTGTTAACTATTTTTTTTTTTTTTTTTTTTTTTAGAATTCTGGTTTAGATGCTGCCAAATAACAAAATTCTGCGTGGATGTTTATCGCCGGTTAATTTTTGACGTTTGGCCTCATCACCATTTCTGTATTATTAGAAAATATCGTACATTCTCTCTCTTGGAACATACGGACCACTAGCTGGCGTATAATAAACAGCTTCGTATCTGGGAACTGGTGCGTATTCCACAACTCGTCGTCTTGATCTGCACAATGAGCACATCAAAAGGACTACCAACGAGAGAAGAGCTATTCCAACTGCATATGGCGCAACTGTATCAGTGCTGAACAAACTGCTTAACTTATCCAGATCTGAATAATGACAACATTGTAGGGGTTACTGATGGCAATGTTACCGTAAACGTTATTTTTAAAAAGGTATTATTGAGGAAAAAAGCAGTATTACCTAATGGATAATTCGTTGCAAATTTACATGAATTTTTCCACTCGATCTCTCAAATTTTTCACAGTTCTGCCGATCTGTAGGACTAATTCACCAACTACGATGTCATATTAGAGTATTTTAAAAAGTAAGATAACGAAGCAGTTAGATTATGCTTGAATGCAAAGGGGACGCACTTTTTACTTAACACAGTTTCTTCAGAGGCTTCTGTTTTTATTGGTTTGCGGTAGATTTTTAGTATTTTTACTCCATTAATTTTTTTATAAAGTCTAGTTTTTTACAAAGTCAGAAATACATCAGTATTCCTTACATTAACAAAAAAACCTACAAAATTATTTCAAAATGTTGGACCTAGAAACAGAATATGTTAAATTAATAAATTTTTTCAAAAGTTATTGCTACTGTATTACGCATTGAAATTGTTGGGTTGTAGTCTTATGATATCGCTTGCTTTCTGAGATAAAAATGCAGTTTGTGAAGAATTATCGACTTTTTTAATGGAAGTGTATCCCAGTTCTCAAAATACTATAGAAATGAAGAGATTCTTTTAAAATGCTGATTTTTTATGGGTTTACCTGTCACAATCACATAGAAATTTTATTATTTTTTAGCATACACTGTTATAGTTCTTTGCTGCCATTGAAAAGCAGAGATTTGAATTCTCAGGCGCATTTTATTAAATATCTGTAGATGAAGCATTGGTCAACTGAAATAAATGCTAGAAAAAAGGTATTTTTTTGTTACTGTATTTCTTTAGAGGACAAAAAAAAAAAACATTTTTTGACACAGTGATATTTCGATCAAAATCGGAATAAGTTGCACTGCAAAGGTGCAAAAGCGTGGCATTAGTGGAAAATTTTTGCATCGTAATCTAATAAATCGTATGTTCGCCTCGTGACAACAACACACTACAATCTTTAAAGTTTAATTAAATTTTTTCTCATAAATTATTTTATTCATAAAAGTTTTGAATTGTTTTATTTTTAATTCTATCATTTTGAAACCATATCTGTGTTTTGATCTTTTCGGTACTTTGTCAGCTTAGAAATATTGTTACATTTTTAAATCTGTGTGCCATTCGAAGAAGCAGAAACTTCAGGAACATATAATTAACGAACAGATCTCCAAAGATGACCATTCTGAGCAAAAGCTACGTCTTTTTTCTACTTTTGTAATACAGTCTACTTTTGACATCATAAACTTTTTAGACTACATTTTTTTGATATAATAGTCAAAGACTATGATTTAAAAACTGGTAGAGCTTAGAAACTATCTGAGTGGTCGGCTAAAAAAGCGTTTCAATTGGCGGAGACTGTCCATACCTCTTAATAGACATACCTCATCTACTCGTGCTCACTGTGCTGTTCTTGTTTTGTTTAATAAACCCTGGATTTTTGGGTATAAAAAGAATTAAATATTAGATATATAAAAAATGATTAAATCTTGTTATATCTTTGGTGAAAGGTTGAAAATTAGAAGTGATTCTATATTGTTTGAAGGATGTAAATGTAGAAAAAAATGTTATTCTACAAAACCATAGAGGTTTATTAGAAAGACCTGGATACAGCATATTTCTCAAAGTGTTATAATTAAAATTGCAGTTGAAGTCGTTTCTGCAATCAGAAGAAAATTTGTAGTTTTTTTTTTTGAAGATTTTTTCGTTTTCCAGTACCTCTGGAAATTTGGGTGGAAAATTGTGAAGTAGATAGAAACAATTTTTAAAGAATGATATTAGCAAAAGACAACTTTGTATCATCAAACTTTTCTCGTA